TGAGGACGAGGGGGATTCTGTTTTGGTTGTTATTGCGGGGACGGGGTGTGAGGGATGAGTTGCGGGAAATGCGGGAGACACGGTGGAGGGCGTTCTTGACCACTGAGGGGGGAAGTTGCGGTCCTTGAAAAACGAGGACATCTGAGATGTACGGGAGTGGAATGCCTCATCCTGGGAGCAGATGCGGCGGAGGCGAAGGAATTGGGAATAGGGGATGGCATTTTTGCAGGAAGGTGGGTGGGAAGAGGAGTATTCTAGGTAGCTGTGGGAGTCGGTGGGCTTGAAATGGATATCGGTTTCTAGGTGGTTGCCCGAGATGGAGACAGAGAGGTCCAGGAAGGTGAGAGAGGTGTTAGAGATGGTCCAGGTGAACTTAAGGTTGGGGTGGAAAGTGTTGGTGAAATGGATGAACTGTTCGAGCTCCTCGTGGGAGCACGATTTGTCCGGAGGGAGGAGGGTAAGTTCTTCAGGCTAGGCATCCTTTTTTGTGGCCTATTGTGTTCATCCAGCTCTACACCTTGTTATCTCAGATTCTCCAGCATCTGCAGTTCCTGCTATCTCTGTTATTGTATAATATGATATTCTACACAGTAACACATTATTGTATAATAAGATATTCTACCCCGTAACACACGTGTTATTGTACAATATGATATTCTACACAGTAACACGTTATTGTATAATATGATATTCTACGCAGTAAAATTGTCTAATATATATGGTCTTCTATCTCGTAATGCACAGCATGCAGTTGTATAAATATGCAATGTTCTCCCCAGTAATAGGCAGTGTGATTACATATTGTATTCTTGCCCCCCTTTTCGTTGCTGCTGACCTGTCTCCCCCAGTCTTTTACCAGCTCATACACTGTTCCCTCCCTCCCCACAGCCCCCACTAGCCCAGTTGCCCCACGACTCCCTGTTGGGCTCTGCACACCACTCCCCTGGTACAAAGATGGATCCCATTTCTGGCCAAGGCTTCCAAGGTTCCCCTCTCAGCCCACGTTCCCATATTCCCCCCACCCCCAGATTGTGCAGCCCAGCCCGACACTTGGATCACACCCCCAGCGCATAGCCGTCTCATGGTGACCATGTGACCACATAAAACTCGTCAAAAAAGTCCCATCTGGTTCACTAATGCCCTTTAGGGAAGGAAACTTCCTTCCTTACCTGGTCTGGCCTACATGTGACTCCAGACCCACAGCAATGTGGCTGACTCTTAACTGCCTCCTGGGCAATTAGGGATGGACAATAAATACTGGCCCAGCTCATGCTGCCCACATCTTGTGCCTGAATAAATAAAACAACGAGTTTTCAGAGAGGTAAGTTCTTGGTTGGCGCCGGGACTTCCTGCGGCAGTGACGGGTGATGCATAAATGCAGGTGCTTGCTTCCTTCTGCTGGCTGATTCTGTGGTGTTTTGTTCCAGGGCACAATGCCTACATCTGCCCAGCAACTAACCAGTGCACCATCGACAAGAACAGGAGGAAGAGCTGCCAGGCATGTCGACTACGCAAGTGCTATGAAGTTGGGATGATGAAATCCGGTAATTACCAAAAAAAAACCATAGTTTTAAAGTGAGTGGAGGTAGATATAGGGGAGACGTCAGAGGTAGTTTCTTTACTCAGAGAGTGGTCGGGGTGTGGAATGCATTGCCGGAGAGGGTAGTGGAGTCGGCCTCATTAGGGGCATTTAAGCGGCTATTAGATAGGCAAATGGATGATAGTATAAGGTAGGGGTGGAGGTTAGATAGACCTTAGGTTTAGGGTAAAAGTTCGGCACAACATCGTGGGCCGAAGGGCCTGTACAGTGCTGTACTGTTCTATGTTCTATGTTCTATTCAGCTAGTCGGACTGAATGGCATGGGACAGGGGGAGGCTCTGGGCTTAAAGAGTGAAGAGATTTAGAAGTTGTTGGGGGAAGTAACAGAACTGAGAGATTGCAGCCATCGATTGGGAAACACTGAACAGTTTGTACCATTTTTCCATCAAAAAGAAACACCCCTGGGCTGATATCAGAGACTGTTGGTAACCCCTCACCCTCCCTACCCCCACTGACTTTTCGAGGCTGGGTGACGACCAGGAGAAGCTTGCTGCACTAAACAGCAACACAGAGCAGCACTGTGAGCCTGGCATCTCTGGCTGAGGGGGCCAGGCACAAAACAGCAAGGCAGATAGGGAATGCTGTGAGCATTGGGCTAGGCTCAGAGTGAGTGAGCGCTGTGACAGTGAGTGAGGAGATACAGCCTGGTGCAGTCCCTGAGCTGAGGTGGTGGAGGGGTGTTGGTGTCCCTGAGAACACAGTGTCCTCGCTGCAGCATTACAATGAGAGTTACCAGGGCAGCCTGAGGGGCAGCACTGAAGGGCAGAGTGTCCTCTAAGTGAATCAGGGATATGCCATTGTGTGTTCCCAGAGGCCAGCACATGTCAGATGCTAATGTCCCTGGATGTGGGACATTTGAGACCAGTGCCCATGGAGCAAGCCCTGTGATGTTGGAGGTCATTCAGAGCAATGAATTCTCCAGGTACCTATTCTGCTTTCCTGGAGTATTCTCAACATTGAGTTTGTTTGGTGAGTTTGGTAAGACAGGAATATTAGTGAGGCAATTTATGACATTATGGGGACTTAATTATTATCAATAACTTGTAACGAAGAATTATAAATCAGTTGGGATAATGTCAGAGTGAAGGGCAAGGTGGAAAAGGAATCTCTGAGATATCCTCAGCAGAACATCCTCATCCAGTATATCATCAGTGTACTCCGGAAGGAGGCATCCCTGGATCTAGTGCTGGGAAATAGGGAATAGTCCAAGGAGACGCTAGGGCCTGTGGGGGGAGCATTTGGGTAAAAGTGATCATAGTACTTGGAGAAAAACAAGGAACAATCCACAACAAACATTCTGAAATGTCAAAGAGCTGATTTCAATGAAATGAGAGAGGGTCTCAATCTAAAACAAACCTTACTAAACTGGAAAAGGGTGCAGAAAAGATTTACAGGAATGCAACCGAGGCTGGAAGGTTGGAGTTAAAAGGAAAGGCTGGAGAGGATGGGGATGTTTTCCCTGGAGCATAGGGGGCTGAGGGGTGGTCTTATAGAGGTTTACAAAAATCGAGGGGCACAGATAAAGTGAATAGCCAAGGTCAAATTCCCATGGTAGGGGGCATCCATTTAAGGTGAGAGGCAAAAGATTAAAAATGGGGACCCAAGGGGCACCTTTTTCACACAGAGGCTGATGTATTTATGGAGTGAACTGCCAGAGGAGGTGATGGAGGCTGGTATAGTTACAACATGTTTAGATGGATCTGGGCCAAATGCAGACAAGTGGGACTAGTTTAGTTTGGGATAATCGATCAGCATGGATGAGTTGGGGCAAAGGATGTGTTTTCATGCTGTATGACTCTATGATTGGGTGACTCTATTCTGAATTGTCAAAGGGGTGATTTCAATGGAACGAGGTGGGATTTTATGTTGATGGAAATGGAGCCAACATTTAATAGGAAAGTTGGAAGAAAGCAAGCTGTACAAAATGATCAGAGGTATAGATAGAGTGGACAGCCAGAGACTTTTTCCTAGCGTGGAGGTAGCTATTACGAGGGGGCATAGTTTTAATGTGAGTGGAGGTAGATATAGGGGAGACGTCAGAGGTAGGTTCTTTACTCAGAGAGTGGTAGGGGCGTGGAATGCATTGCCGGAGAGGGTAGTGGAGTCGGCCTCATTAGGGGCATTTAAGTGGCTATTAGATAGGCATATGGATGATAGTATAAGGTAGGGGTGGAGGTTAGATAGACCTTAGGTTTAGGGCAAAAGTTTGACACAACATCGTGGGCTGAAGGGCTGTTCTATGTTCTAAAGCAATGACTTCCCTTCAAAGATTGCACAGGTGAAGATAATCATAGAATCCCTACAGTGTGGAAACAGGCTGTTCGACCCAACAAGTCCACATTGACCCTTAGAGCATCCCACCCAGACCCATCCCCCTATAACCCACCTAATCTACACATCCCTGAATACTATGGGCAATTTAGCATGGCCAATCCACCTAGCCTGCACATCTTTGGACTGTGGGAGGAAACTGGAGGAAACCCACGCAGACATGGGGAGAATGTGCAAACTCTACACACAGTCGCCTGAGGGTAGAATTGAACGCAGGTCCCTGGAGCTGTGAGACAGCAGTGCTAACCACTGTGCCACCGTGCTGCTCCTTATGTTCTAAGGCAAGGGAACCAAACTGATGGCACTGGGAATGATGAGCCTGAAGTGGTATATGACGAAATAAAAGAAAAAGAGGGTGTGAGATGCAGGTCAGGGGAAATGGAGAGGAGAATAAGACTGGAAAAGAGAGAGAATAAGAAGAGAATGGCAACTAATCTAAAAATATCATCTCTCAACCTGTAAATAGTAAGTGGGGTGTGTGAGGTGGAGTTAGACCATAAGAGACAACAAGGGCGATCTACATGGAAAGGTGCAGGGCCGGGCTAGAATATTGGGGAGTAGGGCAGATGATGGAAACCATGGATGCGGTGAAAATTAATCACAAGGATGTAGTGGAAAGGCCAGCTGTACTTTGAGCAGATACTTCGCCTGGTCTTGCACTCCAGCTTCCTGAGGGAAAAGTGGGGAGGAAGGCTGGAGAACGCAGGTGGGCCTTCTGTCATCTTCCAGTCTTGCTGAGATTTAAAGCAGGAGGTGGGAATTGGATGTGGCACTGTTCTTCAAGGAAGGGTTTAAGGGCAGCCCTGGGATCCATGAACTATTGAGTTTAAACACTTGAGCTGGGGATGGTCTTAAAAACAATTCTCAGAAAGTAAAAATGAAATTGAGGATTGTCAATCAGCCTTGATCTGATTGAATGGCAGAATAGACTCGAGGGTCTGAATGGCCTACTGTTACTCCTATGTCCTATGATCTTAGATACTTGGAGAGGTTTGAATTGATGAAGAGGAGACAGTAAAGGCTTGTGTTTGACTCAAATGGATTTCTTGGATGAAGTCACAGAGAGGATCAATAGAAGGATTGCTTGCTGGCATTCTGAGCTGTGAGCTGTGGAATTCTACTCATTAACCTCATGGGCTGTGTCCCAAAGATACTGCCAGCCCTTCAGAAAGTGATCATTTCACTGTCTGTACGTGGAGTTTGTTGGGGAAGGTATCTGAAAATTGAGCCTGTCTTCCGATGCTATACAGCGAGGAAGAGGTTATCTAAATGTACTCTTAGCAAATCCAGCAAGCACTGGATAAGGCTGACTCCCATTATAGGTAAAAACCTCGCTCAGTTTTCTTTCCTCTTTTCTTTGCACATCTTTGGTTTGGAGAGAGTGATTTCACCAGATGTTCTACCAGTGCCGAACATCTGCTCCACTTCTTGGCCTGAGTGATGGACAAAAAGATGGATTGTGTCTGTGTTAGTCTCCAGGCAATCAAACAGGCACTTCGAAAATTCCAACTCCCGGCCTTGGGATCACTTGCAACATTTCTTTAGAATAAAACAACATTCTTTCACCCCATAATTCAAATTGAATACCAACTCGCTCTGTCAGCATTGAATAATACCAGGAGACAATTAATGGTCAGATCTACATGGATTAGATACAGGGTAAAGCTCCCTCTACAGTGTCCCCCATCAAAAAATCCCAGGACAGGGACAGAACAGGGTGAGATGCAGAGTAAAGCTTCCTCTACGCTGTCCCCCATCAAACACTCTCAGGACAGGGACAGCATGGGGTTAGGTACAGAGTAAACCTCCCTCTACACTGTGCCCCATCAAACGCTCCCAGGACAGGTTCAGCACAGCGTTAGATACAGAGTAAAGCTCCCTCTACACTGTGCCCCATCAAATGCTCCCAGGACAGGGACAGCACAGCGTTAGATACAGAGTAAAGCTCCCTCTACACTGTATCCCATCAAACATGCCCAGGACAGGGACAGCACAGGTTTAGATAGAGTGTAAAGCTAACTCTACACTGTACCCCCCATCAAACACTCCCAGGACAGGGACAGCACAGGGTTAGATACAGAATAAAGTTCCTTCTACACTGTCCCACCGTCAAACACTCCCAGGGCAGGGACAACACGACATTAGATACAGAGCAAAGCTCCCTCT